GACTAAAAGTAAGCTTTTCCCTAAAATTTCATCTCAAAATATAATAAGAAATGTATATGACTTAAAATCATTTAATTTTACCTTGAGTGTAAGATTTTTGTTGAAATTCACAAGTTAAATTTTTTATATAGAAAGTGAATCACTTCATTTTGCATTTTTTTATTTATGTTTTTTTTTTTAAACCAAGGGATTGGGGACTTTTTTTTTTCTTTTTCATAATTCTTCTTTTCATTAGTGCAGTATTCGTTATATGCTTCATTATTGACAATTGGAGGGATGATTGGGGCAGTGTTGAGTGGCAGGGTTGCAGACGTTGCTGGGCGAAAATATGTAGGCTTTTTTTCATTCATTGCTTTCAATTTTAGTGTCAAGAATTGGTGAAAATTTTCAACTTTGCAGTGATTGATATATTGCTTTACAATGTTATCCAGGCTATGGGAATTTCAGAAATTTTATGCATTATAGGATGGCTTGCAGAATCACTCTCAAAGGTTTTCCATTCTTCGTGGGCCCTTTCATCAATTTGTAAACCATATAAATAGGAAAATGATACATATACTCCACAAAATTACACACTAACGGTTTCCGTTGCTATCTGTTACACACTTCCCTCATAACTCCCCAAATGCGTCTAGCCCTTTATTTCTCTCTCTCCTTTCCTTTTTCCCTCTTGTTGTTCCAGCCTTAGACACATAAAATAAGTCTGTTTTTGGGATGATATAGCAGAAAGTGGAGTGCATGTGAATGGAGTCAATCGGTAGAAAAGGGAAAAGAAAACATAGGAAATTTCTGTAGTTTTGGTACTATGTTTAGCTTTCTCATTTTATCTGATCTATAAAAGTTCACCGTTAGATTGAGCTGAAATTTTGTTTGAGTGTTCAAAAGACATTGATCTATATTCTAAACGGCCAGTTTTTTGTTTGGAACTTTGTAGGTTCTGATTTTGTGTCCAAAATAGTAGCTCATTTTTGGGGATTTGTTTTTTTTTTTTTTTGTAATTTTGGTATTGTGCATGGTTTTGCCATTTTGTTCGATCTGCAAAAGTTCACCATTGGATTGAGTTGAAATTTTGTTCGAGTGTTCAAGAGACATTGATTTACATTTTGAATTGTTAGCTTTTTGTTTGGGGCTTTGTAGGTTCTGATTTTGTGCCCAAAACAGTAGCTCGTTTTTAGTGATTAGTTTTTCTGCAATTTTGGTATTGTGCACAGTTTTGCCATTTTGTTTGATATGCAAAAGTTCATTGTTGGATTACATTGAAATTTTGTTTATGTGTTCAAGAGACATTGATTTATATTTTGAACAGTTAGTTTTTTGCTTGGAGTTTTGTAGATTGTGATTTTGTAGATTGTGATTTTGTATCCAGAACAATAGTTTATTTTTGGTAAACCATTAGTGTGTAATGAATTAAGTAATGGAGACTGTCAATATGTAACGGAGCAGGATGTATGTATCAATGTCTTATAGAATAATGAAAAACATTTCTCATAATAAAATAGAAAGAAATATTATATAGCTCGAATTAAATAATATTTATAGGGTGAGTCCTTGATATTAAAAGTTTTTTTTTATTTACATCATAACTCTTATTTTTAATTTGAATTGTAAAATAACATCCTAGAATTAATTAAAAAAGAATTTGTAGGAGCCAAATCAATGGCCTGTTGACTCTCAGCTTATAATGTTCAATGTCGATTTTCTGTTGACAGAATATCTTGTGGCTTGACCTGGGAAGATTTTTAGTTGGATGTGGCATTGGCCTGCTTTCGTATGTGGTAAACTAAATTTGTGGTTATATCTTGCTCAGCTGCCTCTTCGGCAACAATTGGAATACACTCTTACTTAATTATTTAAGTATTATATAATATATTTATTAAAAAATTATTATTTTATATTTTAAAATTAAAAGAAAACAAATGTAAAAATATAGTTA